TGATATCAAAGTAGTTTAGTTTATCTTTAATTTATTTGGGATTCATCATCCATACACCGTTTCTCCTTAGATTTTCGTTTGGTTGGTTTACTAGATGTTAAAGATAAGTAACACTTGTTCCAATTGTTTGATCTTAATACTTTATTTGAGTTTTTATTCCTACATGACGTCGTTGAACATTTAAACCAATTTTGACGAAGTAGCCAAAAGAAAGTAATAAGGAAGTCTTTTCTTCACATTCTTCCCCACCCCCTTTATATGCGGATTTATGATTTAAGACATTGAGGACAATGTTTGGTTTAAGTTTGGGGATGGAAAAAAAAAGTTTTCATTTTTATGTGTTTTTGTGTGCTTTTGTTGAAAAAAAATGAAAATTTTCAAAATTTTCAAAAATATTTTCTTTTTGTATGCTTGTGTGAATTAGTTGGCCTGACTGGTAATGAGGAATGTATTGAATCATAAATTGATCTATGAATAGTGAATAAGTTGCATGCTTAGATTGATTTTTTGTTTTTTCATGTGAAATTTGATATATATTAAGCACTTGAATTAAACTAAACATCGTGTATGAATGAGTTGAATTCATAATTGGATATGTTGAAATAGTGGACCATAAATACTAAACCCAAAACCACTACATTTTACATCATTGGATCAAATTTAAAATAGTTTGGAGGATTTCGCTGTTGTGAGATGATATTGAGATAAATGAGGATTTCATGTATGGAAAAAAAATCTTGCGTGGATTGTCTAAGGTCAATAGAATGTAATTGGGTGAAAATCTCAAATTAGAGCTTGTTTTTCTTAAATTGGTATTTAATGAGGGATATTGCACTAATTAAGGCATAAAAAATTATTATTATTTTATTTGAAAATTTCTTTTCGTAACTTTTATGATTTGAGCATTTAAGCATGCATGGGTCTTTAAAATCTGGTACCCCATGTCCATCTGATTTGGGTGTCATCGACCGAAAGTTTATTACATGTGTCATATATAAAGTTTAAATGTGAGAATGCTTCAAATAAAGAAGAATTTTTTTTTTTATAGAAAATAAAAAAAAAACAGGTGTATGAAACAGACGACGCACCAATGCCTTGGTTATGTTCCAAACACTTATTTGGGAAAATTTCACGAAAAGTCACTATAGAAAGAATCGAACGTGTCTCGTATGATTAATGAGACGATTGATTGTTTCATGATATAATAAGAGTTTTTAACCTAACAAATATAGTAAGTCCATGTTTGACACCTATTTTTTCAAAATTAACTTTCAACTACACATTTTTTAATAAAATAATATTTTTCATCACATCAATAATTTTTTCTTACTTTTTAAACACATACTTCTCATCATATCATTATTTAAAATACATTCTTTTCTCAATAATATCTATCAAATACACCTTAAATCAACAAGCTTCAAGTCCCATTACGTGGTAGACCAACCTGGGGTTATGAGCGAGGGTAACGCTGAATTAATTGTGACCATTACCAATTCAGGTAGAAATGAGCCCGTGATCAATTGTAATTGCATCACAAGCAATAAATCAGGGGTCCACTATATTCGAAATTAATGAAGGCATAGTATTAACTTATTTGAATAAGAAAAGGGATTCGATTTTACTACCGCGTTCACAATAATAGTTATTTAGCTATATATTGAGTATATGAATTAAGTTAGGTATTGTGTATGAATGAGTTGAATTCATAATTGGATATGTTGAAATAGTGGACCATAAATACTAAACCCAAAACCACTACATTTTACATCATTGGATCAAATTTAAAATAGTTTGGAGGATTTCGCTGTTGTAAGAAGATATTGAGATAAATGAGGATTTCATGTATGGAAAAAAAATCTTGCGTGGATTGTCTAAGGTCAATAGAATGTAATTGGGTGAAAATCTCAAATTAGAGCTTGTTTTTCTTAAAATGGTATTTAATGAGGGACATTGCACTAATTAAGGCATAAAAAATTATTATTATTTTATTTGAAAATTTCTTTTCGTAACTTTTATGATTTGAGCATTTAAGCATGCATGGGTCTTTAAAATCTGGTACCCTATGGCCATCTGATTTGGGTGTCATCGATCGAAAGTTTATTACATGTGTCATATATAAAGTTTAAATGTGAGAATGCTTCAAATAAAGAAGAATTTTTTTTTATATAGAAAATAAAAAAAAACAGGTGTATGAAACAGACGACGCACCAATGTCTTGGTTATGTTCCAAACACTTATTTGGGAAAATTTCACGAAAAGTCACTATAGAAAGAATCGAACGTATCTCGTATGATTAATGAGACGATTGATTGTTTCATAATATAATAAGAGTTTTTAACCTAACAAATATAGTAAGTCCCTGTTTGACACCTATTTTTTCAAAGTTAATTTTCAACTACACATTTTTAATGAAATAATATTTTTCATCACACCAATAATTTTTTCTTATTTTTTAAACACATACTTCTCAACATATCATTATTTAAAATACATTTTTTTCTCAATAATATATATCAAATACACCTTAAATAACGCTGAATTAATTGTGACCATTAGCAATTCAGGTAGAAATGAGCCCGTGATCAATTGTAATTGCATCACAAGCAATAAATCAGGGTCCACTATATTCGAAATTAATGAAGGCATAGTATTAACTTATTTGAATAAGAAAAGGGATTCGATTTTACTACGGCGTTCACAATAATAGTTATTTAGCTGTATTAACTTATTTGAATAAGAAAAGGGATTCGAGTTTACTACCGCGTTCACAATAAAAGTTATTTAGCTAATAAAGTTTTGAATTTGTTTCGATTTTCTCGACTTATTTCTAGCATTGTCATAGTCACGTAAAAGTTAATTAAATAAAATCTCTCAAGTATGGCAATTCTTGTATCCTGACCTGATGAGACACCTCCACAATGCTTTAGGGGTGGGACGATGGAGGATCTTCAACGTTGGGGTTCAACCTTTAATTAAATAAAATCTCTCATTTTGCCATGGCGCCACCTAACTAGTCAAATGATTGAATAACGGAGTGATGGGAGGAAAAAGCATTATTAGTCAGAGGTTGAAATATTTCAAAAATTATGCATGCTTGACATTTTTAGTTTTAGGGAGTTTATTTTAATTTTGAGATTTGACTTGAATATCAAGTTGACATACAATATTTAACAAAAGTAAGTTAATTAATCAGCATTATATTAAGTGCTTATGTGATAAAATCTTATCAACTTTTCAACTGATTAAATTTCAATTTTAATCATACATTTCACGAAAACTGTTGACCTCTCAATCTTGTTGCGACTTGGTATATCAACAGATTCCTCCTCCACTCCTTTCCAAATTTATATTACCTGCACACTTGAAATACTTGAGGCGGATCAGGTGTGGCCAAGGGTTGTGTTCTTTTGCATTGCCTTGGAGCAAGGAAGTGGTGCTTCTACAATAAGTTAAGTTGCCTTGAAGATAGTTGTCAATGAGGCGATGCGACGTTCCTTCATCGCCTAGAAGGATGTGACACGCCTCATAAAGTGCATACTTAACATTCTTAGTTGACATTCATGTGGCTTTCCATATAGACAAAAGTGGAACGATAATCCTCCAAATTCAAGATTTTGATTATTTGTATGAGGTGTCAGATGTTTTAAGATAGACTTAAAATTTGTACATCTGAATTTTGTTGTGGAAGTATATTGCGGAGATGCTTACTTTAGATAAAGCCGGGAATGTCTTTATAGAGGTGCCCTCACCTCAAGCATGTTTCTATTTTCTAGAGTTGAGGCCATATCTATCTTAACTGAAGTGATACAAGTCCAAGCATAGATATTCATACAAGAGAGAAGCATTGATCTGAAGATGCAAGTCCCATTTCAGTGATAATCCTTGAATTGAAGAGGGGCGTCTCATTTTAGGGGCGAAGGTTTATGAAGAGGCAAGTCCCATTTCAGGAATAACCTTAAATTGTATAGGCAAGTCCTATATTAGGGAGTAGTGTCCCATATTAGGAAGAAGCCTTGAGTGAATAGGTGAGTACCATACTACCATATCGTGGAGAAGCCTTGAATGAATGGGCAACTCACACTTCGTGGAGAGATCATGAGTGAAGATGCATTTCAGGTAGAAGCCTTGGATTGATCTTCAGTTAGAGGCATCTACCACCAAGTTGGAGTAGATGGGGTGGCACGAAGTACGAATCCAAAGTATGAATCTTTATGGAGAAAACAAGTAGGTGAAGCTTTCTAATGTTTGACACGTGATCTTATCCCAATGGCTCACCTATTAAGTCCAATAACATCACTTTACGTAACTTTAACCCTAATTTTCATTGTTAATGATCTCTACAAAATGTCGTGTAGGAGCTAAAATAGGAGACCAACTCGATAGAATTGATAATTTTAACAGTCCATAGTCCACATAAAGGTCTGATAACTACTACTTAAGATATGGTAAAATTATTTAGTTTAGTGACCAAATAAGTCAAAAATCCTCTAATGACTTATTTGAAATCTTGTTTGAATTCTGGTAACCAACTAGTGAAATTAACAGGTTGGTTGATGAAGATTTTTTGAATCAACTCTTTCTTTTGATGTTGCCTTTATAATTTTTTTTTTTTTTGAATCTGGAGCAAAAGAACAACAGAGCCATTGCTCTTCAGGGCGATGAGAAATATATATAAAATTATGGGATCACGTAAAAAATTATTTTATTAAAAAAATATAGAATTAAGGAAAACGAGTTTTAAAAAATAGGTACCAAAGATGGATTAACTCATTTTTCGAGTGTCCAATTTGGAATTGGCTATTACTTCGTGTAACTTCGTTCCTACACCATCCTACAATACCACGATGTGGAGACACCACATGGAATCATAGCCCGGAATGGAGTCCGCGAGTGTGGGTCGCATTTCTTGACGAAGTTGGAGCTGAATTATCTTAATCGCAAAAATAGCAAGAAAAAAAATTCTACAGGCACGCAAATTTTAAATTATTTTACACCAAATGGGCTCTCAAATCCTGAAAATCTCACCATTTGCTGCCTCTAGAACCTTCATTCTCAATTCAACTCATTTCTCAAGAGCTGTACTAAATTCATCAGCCCCCAACAATTCTCTTTCTAATTCGCATATCAAATCTTTTTCGTTTGCGAAACCCATAAAATATTGCAAAAATTTGAGTGGGTTGAATCATCTACGAGGCTTCAGAGGTGGGGTCGTGGCCATGGCGGCACCTGGTTCAGCTTCCAAGTCTGAGGAGGAATGGCGTGCAATTCTTTCTCCTGAACAGTTCCAGATTCTCAGGCAGAAAGGCACTGAGTGAGTCCCTCATCTTTATCCAAAATTTAGCTATTGTTTTTCTATTTTTAGGTTAAATGGCTGGACTTAGCATACTATTGGAGATAAATTAAGAGACAGTTTAGGTAGTTTTCTCATCCTGCGTTCGCTTAAATCAATAGAACTCGTCCTATTGGAGTCTGTGAATAATTAAGAGTTTTTAGTTTGTTAAGAGTATAAGTTTTCTTCAAGGAAGAGGGAAATCTATCTAGAAGTCGTGTTGACGAGGAGATTGAAGCACACAAGTGTTTTGCTCAGCTCATAATGCTCACACATCTAGATTTGTGCTTCGTTTTGTGCCAGAAAATTTACGGTCACTGTTAAGTTTCATTTATGTGGTAACCTTAAAACTTTGTACTAGTCATAACCTAGTGGTATATGCTCAGGTTTTTCGAACGAATTTCATCAGTTTCAGTTGAGATGAAAAGTTTGAATGAATTCCTAGTATGAAATATTAAAAATTATGGAAGCAATGACTGAAAATTATTTGAATTTCTCTCTTTAAGATTTAGAGGTTGGGAAGAAGGGAAGTCTGAAGTGAATGTATGGATTGCCACTCGGGATTGCCTAATGAATTTGTTTGCAATAACAGAAAGTATCTTTGCATGAGACAGATCCTTTGTCCTCTCTTTTCATGAATTATAATAAATAAAGGTGCAAGATTATGATAGATTTCATCTGGTTTTACCAAGTTCTGACTGTAGAACTCAAAACAATTAGCATATCCGATTCCAGTTTTGCCAATTATGATTTGCTTTAGACACAATAGTGAACTTCATCATTTTTTCCATGGTTTAAATTACCCCTGATTAATGGGAATCTTTCTCTTAGAAATGTAAGAATACCTTAGGTTTTTCCTCAAGAGTCTTTTGTCTGAGCATGCATTTGACTTCGTAAGAATTTCCATATACAAACTCAATAATTTTATAGGAAATCCATCATTAGATCGGGAGCACGTGAGTTTCCCATGTCCTGTTTATTACGGTTAAATTTGTAGATAATCTCTATCTGTACTCCCCCCTAGATTCATGGATATCAACAACCACCAGCAAAGCTGCTTAGCCCTCCACGTGTTCCTGTGCTGCTAATTGTCCATCCTGTCACTTAGCGTAGCTTCTGATCCTCCCTCTATTCTATGGGGGTCACATCTGGTGGCCAAAACTCATGTGATGGGCATGTGATGGCCCCACAGGCTTCAAGATGAAGTTTACACGTTTGAAACTCACTTAATCAACGTGTTGTATTAATGGTTGTCAACCAGGGGCTAAAATATCATAAGTTACTTTCTAGATCAATATTTAATAGAGTTCAAAAATGGCCAATTGTCAAAATATTTCCTGCTAATCAATCAATTAATATGGTGGTTACCGTATAGATATTAAAAATAAAATAAAAAAGTTGTGTGAAATCAATTGGATCATTTAGTCCCTCACTCTTTTTAAATTAAAATTATTTATTTCTCATACTCATTTTCATCCATACATTCATACAATAAAATATTCTGTATATAAATTCAAAACTTTTACTTACTTTTTAACCACATATCATACAAAAAATCACTATTCAAACATCATTCATCAAACAAGTGGGTTAGTAGATGTAAAAAATGGGTCGAAGGAATGTTTCTGGTGGTAAGAGAGTGTTTGACACCCATTTATTGAAGAATAGAATTTTTGGAATAGTGATTGTTGGGAGAATGTGGGGTGAAAAAGTTATAAAAAGTTTTAGATTTATGTGTAATATTATTTTATTGGGAAAATGTGTGGTTAAAATGAAGAAAGAGAAAAAATGAGAATGAGATGAGAATGGGCGCCAAACAAGGGCTAAGTTAGTTTCTCGTTGACTACTATAGCTGTTCCCTTTCATTTAGGAAAGATTATTGTTGTCATGTGTAACTGATTTCATTTGAAAGAATATTATTGCCTGATGTATGATACTATTACTAAGTGCACCTTTTATAAACTTAAAAAATTTCCTTTGAAGTAAATAAGTAGGTTTTAAAATAAATAATTTTTGGTTGGTCAAAGTCGAAAATAAGTTACTTTGAAAGTAATCTTACTTGTCGAAGTAATTTTTTACTTGAACTGAGAGAAAGACAAAGCCGAAAGCCCTGGAAATTGGGCTGTCTCAAAATTTTTGAAGCTTTTATGAAACCATGGGGATGTTACCTTCCAGGAGGTCGTCACTGCTAGATATAAACTTTCCTTGATCACGAGGATTTAAAATGAGAGAGTGAAGCCTGAGCTAAGCAAGAACAGCCTATCCAATCATGTTTTGAAATAATAGTTTACCTAAAATACGTATGTTTAAGTTGCTTTTACACTTAGCCAACATGTTATAAATGTTGGAATCTTTGGAATTGTAAATTTTATGTAAGGTGTAGAATATGGCTGTAAGATTTTGATGCATGTTTTGCTACAACCGTATCTTGTGAGTTAAGTAGTCATAGAATTTGTATTCGAAATGTTGCAATTGCGAACTGTTTCTTGACTGCTATTCAGGTATCCTGGTACTGGGGAGTATGACAAGTTCTTTGAAGAAGGTATCTACAAATGCGCAGGATGTGGAACTCCCCTTTATAGATCCACAACAAAATTTAACTCGGGATGTGGTTGGCCAGCATTCTATGAGGGTATCCCAGGGGCTATAAACCGAAATGTGAGTTTTTCTTCTCTTCTTTACTTAATTCCACGTGTTACATCAACAAATATTGCTAGAAATAATTGTATCCCTGTTGGTGCGTGATTTCAGCCGGATCCAGATGGAATGCGGGTAGAAATTACATGTGCAGCCTGTGGTGGTCACCTCGGTCACGTTTTTAAAGGTGAAGGGTTTCGCACACCTACGGACGAACGCCATTGTGTTAACAGTATTTCATTGAAGTTCACTCCTGCGAATTCTGGATGACTTGCACATTGGTGGTTTTAGATTATATAAATCATCAAATTACCTCAATAAAATCTGCTGAAGTTCTGTTTTAGCCCGAGAGAAGATCTGGTCTATATAGCTTTTCTTGTTTAAATTTGTGTTGTGCCATTTGTCGTTGCTGTGGTTCGAACCATACATTTTTCATTCTGTATCTTCTTCTTAATCATACAAGTTCAGTTCTACGTTTTACCATTTTACAAAGATGGAGACAGTTGAAAACAACTCTTGCTGTCATTAATAATCTACGTTTAAAGTCCATTGGAAGTTTCAAACTACTGCTTTTTGTTAACGTGAAATTTAAGCCGAAGCCCGCTGAATCCATACGCAAACCAGAAGCCAGAAGTAGGCCGTGAGCTAAATTCAAAACTAGCCGAAATTATCTTGAGTTCTAATTTCGCAGTCACATTCCGGAAGTCAAAATGGCAGTAGATATCCCCCAAATTTTATCTTATTTGTAATTTGGTTAAACTTTTAATAATTACAATTAAATTCGTATAAGCGATGCATCAATGTTAGGAAAGCGTCAAATGCATAGAGCCTGTTTGAGTACTATTTTTTGACAAAAAAGCATTTTGGAATAATATTTTGATGGAGAATGTGTGGATAAAAAATAAGAAAAAGTTTTGAATTTGCGTGTAATATTATTTTATTAAAAATGTGTGGTTGAAAATTAGAGAGAAAAATGCATTTTGAAAATAATATGTATCAAACAAGGGCATAATTATACTTTCACTTCAGTATAAAGTAACTATATTTTATTTTGTATCTATACTTTAATATATGATTTAAAATGATAACCGTTATATCTATGAATTACATGGCGTGATGGAGGGGGTCCCATATGATTGACTCAGTATCGATTGTTCAATTGGATTGAACTTATTCATTCAAGCAAGTTCGTCTTCGACTTGGGATCGATCCACTAGCCATCTTAGCTCATTTCTATTTCTCTATATATGTTATTTCATTTCACAAAATGTGTGACATTTTAGCTCCAGCCAAACCCCCTATCCTGTCTTTTGCACTCATTATCTCTTGTTGGACAATTGATTTGACCGTCAGAATGGAAATTATCGTCGGACATTTTTCTCTACCAATGGCCTTTGTCTCCCAGCAGTGTATTCTAGTGTGTAGGTGACACCTATATAGAAGGAAGGTGGCTGGGATTCCGTTGGGCAGATGTCCGTGCAAAAATTGAAGTCAATAATGACTGCACTTTAATTTAATTTCTACTATATTATTACACTTTAATTTCATTTCAGTTATGGTAACTTCGTTGATAGAACATGACAATCAATAAATGAAAATTCATTATATGTAGTTATTAGTTGTTGGCGCGGAATAATTGAATTAGCGAATTTGTGTGAAATAAATTATGGCTATCGCTATACTGATTTCATCGGTCCAAGTGATGAAATTTGGACAAAATTATCTAATTGAAATGCAATTAAAAAGTAATTACTTGACTAAACATACTTCAAGTACAATGACTTGATTAACAATAGAGTAAAAGTATTAGAATTTTCCCATAAATGCATCCGTAATGTTTTCAAGATTGTTGTGTAGGTTGTGGTCGGTGTCAATAGATTGGGGACTAAAATGAAACGCAGAATCCAAAACTGAAAACCAACAAAACAGCGCCCACAGTGTGTTTCTTCCCCTTGGAACTTAAAAAACTCTCACCACCGCAAACGCACCATTCTTCATCCTCAAGAAATTTGCTTCAATAATTCATCTGGATTTCACCGAGTCATGGCGCCAACAGCAGCAATGCTCTTGTTAGGGCACCATAACAAACCAACGCCGTCACGTATTTCCAGTTGTTCGTCGTCGCCTTCTAGGCCAGTCTCTCAAGTGAAAGCGTCAATCGCTAAGTCCGTTTCGCTTTTTAATACCATATTCCGACGAGAATCGTCGCAGGTAAAAGAGTCAGCCGCCACTGGAGAGGTATCAGCTCAGAAAGTTGTTGAAAGTTGAGGTTTCGCCGGGAGCTGTAGGTTATAATCTATATAAAAATGTGTAAATTCTGTGTTGTTTTATTTCATAGATCTATGATCAAATGTGCAGAATTTTAAATTCCAAATTCTATTTCATTTTTATTCATGATTATGACCCACCCTATTGCTACACAAATTAACATCGTTTTTCTTCGAATATTAACTGTTCACATAAAAAAATCAGTTTTGGATTTGACATGAGCCAAATCTTCTGTTTACGTCGGATAATCTACGCACTTTGGCACATTGTTCCGCGGCGCCAATGGATCATTATTCCAATACTTAAAGTTGGTTTTTGTTTTTTGATAAATCAAAAACACTAAATTTGAGTTGTATATGGAAGTATATACTGCATCATGTTTAATTTTATCGTGAAAATATGACACGATAAATTTAGATCAATTTAATAGAAATTTAGTAAAGTAATTTGTTGGAAACTTGTGAAAGATAAACGAGGGATTGCCTTGGGAGAGGCTGTTAGAAGTGTCTTTGATGATTACATGAGATCTCCTTTAGGAGGATTTGTTCCCATTTATAGGTTGAAAAATCAAGTCACTTGCTCGCCTAACGTTATTTCAGTTATAGTGTTGATCTAGGGGTGTGTGTCATCGCCCAAAATCTTTCCTAATTGGTTGTTGAGGTCGACCACACAAGTCATCTTGACAACTATGTTGCAGCTATGGCACTAGGCAATGATTACCTGTTGTTGGGCAATCATTACTGGCTTGTGATTGGTCGAAAATAAGTTGCTGACGTCATATTGTCACTTGTCATTTTGGGAGTGGTTGATAACTTGACGGTCAAGTGGGAGCAATTTATCAGCGATGAAGAATCATGATGTTTCTTCCAATTACGATGACATTGTGTGAGTTGTTCTCATAGTCTCGGGTCCGACCTAATCAGTAGGATAAGATGGTATCTTAACCTATTATTTATCAAGGTTTGAGGTCGAACACCAACCAACAAGTGCTATTCTAATTCTTATTTACGTTGCAATTAAAAATATATATAGATTGTAGTTGTTGGCGTTTATTTATTGGTTTTTCATCTAAAATTATTAAGTACACAAAATAAATGACATTTCGCCACGTGTTTCTCTTCTTTAAGGCTTGGTAAAAATTTGAGGTCAAAGTCAATAATTAATTTTAATCACACATTTTAATGAAATTCACAATTTTTATCAACTTTAAACTATAAATTTCATCTTTTTTAAAAAAATAAAAAATAAAAATCCGCTTAAACTTCTATGAAAAAAAATTATCAAATAACCGCTTCACTTTGCACAGCAAACACGTCCTTAATGTCTCCCCAAGTCACCATAAGTACACCAAACCAAAACCTTAAAATCTGAAAGTTGAATATACACACTGTCACTTAATATTTGAATATAAGTATCAACTTATATTTATAATTTAATTTTTGACTTCCACTTTTAACTCCAGCTCTATTCGGATCGATCCCTTAAATTTTGTATATTTATATTTATTATGGCATGTTATTTTGAAATATTTTATAAGTGCGTGAAAATAATTTTTGATCCTTCATTTACTCTTTTGATTTGAATATGAGATAAATGTAAGCCTCTGAAAAATAAATGTTAATTATTTTACGTGCACGTAAATAATGAAATGTATACTTAAATGTGAGTGTTATAATTACAAGTAAATGATAAATGAATACGAATGACAAATACAATACATGAATTAACGTGAATATTATTTAATTTAGAATTAATATCAAGGAATATATATACGTAACAATGAATGTTAAATAATTTATACTAAACGAATATAATTTAATTTTCAATTAAATGAAATTGGATGCTAATTAGCATCTATGGATGTAAATAATAAATTGCATTCTTAAATGCAAATTTCTAATCATTAATAATTGAATGAATGTAAATGTTAATTAATTGAGAATTAATAATGTGGATATGAACGTGATATTCTAATTAAAATTAATTAAATGAATGTGAATGCTAATTAATTGAGAATTAATAACGGGGAATACATGAATTAACAATAATTTTATAGTATTTATTACAATTTGTAAATTAAATACATATTGAAAAACAAAAAATAAAGTATTATTGAAATAATTAAATTATAGTATGGCTATAATCGTCTAAAAAATAATTCTCACTTGATGTTATATTTAATATATGAAAATTATATTACGACCACATATTTTAGTAGTAACGCCACAATTTTAATTTATTTTTTTCATTTAATTAAATGGCATTAAGTAAAATTACTTGATTAACGCCACACCAAAATATATTCTTTGACATGAAATAATTTGTTTGTGGACACCACAATCACGATCATTGTAGCGTTTCTGTATTCATTTTCTTTGTGGTTCATCGTTTACAGTGTTTTCAAGAGCCCATAATTTTATTCTATTTCAGACAATAATCTAGAGAGAGAAACCAAATGGGGAAGTGAGAGAACTACTTTCTTGTTCAAGAAATAGGTTGGAGTGCTTCAACTCTGAATCTACAATATACATAAATATATGTGTATATATAAAGGAAACCCAAGTTTTATTTTTGTTCGTTTGGGCCAATTTTTTGTTTTGCAAATCCTAATTTTGGTTAATTGGATCTTCGGTTTTTTCAACGGGTTTGTAATGCAAAGCTAGATATGTCAAGAGTCGAGTCAAGCATGCTCGCAAGCCGAAACTTGAGGCTTGAGCTCGACTTAAGTAAAAATAATTTTGGATTTTTTACCCGAGCTGAGTCGAGTTTTTGCTCGGCTAAGAAATTTAGGCTTGACCCAAGCTTTCAGCTCGGGTCTTGTCGAGCCGAGTCTACTCATGATTTTTTTTTTTAAATATTAGGCAGCGTGTATTAAATTTTATTTATTTTTATATATTTTTAGGCCCAGTTTGTTACTGGTTGAAAATAGTCCCGTGACACGAGTTGGCCCGTGTGATTCGTCAGTCAAGCCAACGACCCAAAATGGGGCTTGGGCTAGAGTTGACGAGTGAAATTGACACCTCTAGTGCGAAGCTGGTAATTTGTTAAGTGTGTGCTTTACTGGATTCAATTAATTAACAATTGGTTCTTGGGAAGTCATGGTATTCTTAAAATCTTGGACTTGGATTGATTTTTCAGTGTTTAGAAAGAGAATGTTCTTGTGGCTTACTTGTAACTATTATTTTTGTCGATGGATTATTGAATTGGTGATTAAATTTTGGATTATTCTTCTTGTACATTGGGGTGTACATAAGGGTGTCAATAATGGACACCCGGCACCCCCTATTGGATGGAGTGTCGGTCCCACTGGCACTCCATCCAATAATGAGATGTCGGGTGTCCATTATGGACACCCTTATGTACATCATGATGTACTTGTAGTAAAGTCCAATGTAAAATATTGTCGTATGTTGTTATGTAGATTCATATATATTTTAATATATGCGGTTTATTTTATTCAATTGTCAATAAATAGGAAAGATATTTCGTAACATTATAGCGTA